ACCCAACTTGTCCCCCCCCCCACTGTGTTCCTGGCAGAGACAGAAGAGTAGTCTTTATAAACCCCTGATCTCAGAAGGTATTAAACCAGGGTTCTTGTGACCCCTGGCCAACTGCCCCTCTGATTAATTTCTAATTCCAGACTTCAAATATTAAAGCAAACACACACACATTCACTCACTAACTAACAATTGTTACTTACATTTCGTCACCTAACACCTAATTTGCTCTGATGCAACATAACAATGTTTTTCATTCAATTCACATGAACATATTGAATTTAAAAAAACATTTGAATAATGTTTGCACATTGTTTTACTACAACAGGCATCACAGGATTAATATATAATATATTATTTATAGAGTTTAGAATTTATTTCAGCATGATGAACAGATAACTCATTACACCTACAAGTACCCATTAGTTCATGATTAAAACATCTCTAACTTGGGTAAGAAATAACCATATTTCTCAAAATAGCTAATTACTCCTGCAAGAAATTTAACAAACCTTACAATTTAACCATAATCAATCTATAAACGTTACTAGTTAACTAATTCAAATGTTAAGTTAAGATAATCTTGTTAGGAGAAGCAGCCCTTACCTCCCTCCAGACAAGCACAGGCTGGTCTCAGTATTAGTCATATGATATTTTATATACTTCAAATTAATATCCCAATCTGGCTATTCTCAGTAATCTTGCCCGTGCATGATGTGATTTCAGAAGTGATGTTCTGCCAGACTGTCACTGTATCTACATCTTGGTGATAATCAGTCATGATATGGTAAGAGCCATAAAACATCAGCTGGATCTTCAGCCATGCTTGTGTTGCCATCTAAATTATGTGGTGAGATGCACTTAGCTATACCTCCTTGCATTATGTGTCCAGTGACTGAGTGTTTTTCAACTTAGAAATATGTGCTGTCACACTCAGGTATGACACACTGCCTGAACGTGCTCCTCCCTGGAGTGACAGCACAGGAAGCGCTGCAGCAGGTGAAGCCGCTCACGCTCGCACCTCATGTCTCAGAGAATGATATTCAGTTTACTGAAATATCTTTGTTATACAGGCACCATTGTCAGCATGAAGTCATTGCGGAAATAGATGCATCGTGCCCTCACCCACTCTCCCATCACATCTGTCCACCACCACTATCACACTTAAGTATGAGGCAACAGCTGACGGTGGATAGATACAGCGAGCAGGAGCTAGTTATGAAGGAGTGTTGCCATGAGATAGAGGTCACTGTAGCTAAGGGGTTGAGAGATGGAGGGAAAGGAAATGTTCTGACAATAAATTACGCTTGTGTTCGTGTATTCCATCAGAGGCCTCCATATGAGCAGGATGTTATATATATCACCAACATGGCTCACTAACCTTTTGACCCACATAAATGAAATGTGTTTAAGTGCACCATTCAGCAAACTGAAATTGCACGCCATCTGTAACATGCTTTATTTTTGCTGTCTTGTTTGATGTACTGTGTTTACACACAATCTACTGATGTTGCATATTGTTTGCAGTTTTAAGGTCTTCTTACAGTGCATTAATCCCATGCATTATGCATTAGCAGGGAATTATTGCTGATGCTGAATCTCATATCCAGTCCTCTCTCTGCACATTATCGCACTTGTTATTCATCTGACGGTGCTAGTGATATTTCAAACAAAAAAACACCACAGACACCATTGATGGGCATTTAAGCTGGCCAGAGACACATTTTCAGAAGCCCAGCCTTAATATGTAAAAAAGCCACATTATACACAAGTTCACATCATATTACTTGGTATTTATGTGGAGGCATCTCTCCCTTTTTTTATGATTTGCTTTTAGACTACGGCTTCTAAAAAGAGGCTTGAAGGTGAGATCCTTCGCGAGGCAAGCTGCCAGGTAATAACTTCTTTAATCGCTTCTGCCTTGTGCTCATATTTCTGCAAAAATAGGAAAAAAGCCCCACTATGACAGCGAGCTGCCCTTATTTAGAACAAGTATAGGAGACAGCTGCTATACAGTATCATCACCTCATTAACCCTGCATCTGGACAGCGTCAATTTAAAAGTTTTTACGCTCTCGACCCTCCTTTCCCTCTGATTGTCTCTCCTCCTCCTCTGTCTTCCACTCATGCTGCCACTCTTGGCACAACATAATAAGCAAATTGCGCATCTTTTGACTTCACGGGGCTGTTTACTCATAAAAGGCGTTGCACGAATGTCATTCAGGTCAGTGGCTCCCACTGGTAATCAAGCTGGGATGGTGATTAGATGAAATTAATCGCGGGCCTCTGTCACTCACTGCTGACGCTGTGGGAGCATGATAGGTGTTTGCTTCCCAGGCGACTTCAGTACATCAGGAGGAGAGAGCGAAAGACATCAAAGAGGAGAAAAAATAGAAAAACCCATATTAGAGTTACACCCGAGAGACAGCCCCCCAAAAAGTGTGCGTTGGGATGCTGGTGTCTATTTGTGCGTGTATGTGTGTGTAGGTGGCTGTGTGTGGGTAAGTGGAGAGAGGTAATGAGTGTGAGTTTTTGTGCAGGTGTCTGCTCTTTTTTTGGGGAAAGGGTTGGGAGGACATGAAAGGAAGGAGCTAAGGTTTGATGTGATAATGAAGCACCTTCTTTAGTCTCCATCTTCTCTTTCATCCAAACCACTCACTTGTGCCTATTTGTCCAACAAATGTTTTGGTAGGCCCATCAAGTAGAAATCTACCATCTGCTATTCAAACAGGAATATCAGCATCTTTAGGTTTTGTTGGAGATCGAGAGAATCACAAAAGACATGGAAGAGAACTGGATTTCGACTTGCGTGTGTCACGCCCCCCCTGTCTTAATATCAGGGCAACTCAGAGCTTTGTGACTTGCCATGATTGAACAGGAGTGATGCTAAGGTTAGCTCACTGGAGCGTTTCGCTGTACATGGACAGATTTACCGGCCCGTGAACCTATAAACCTGCAATTACAAACCCTAACAACTCTGGCGCAGGCTGCTTGTACACCGTACTTTTCCTCTGGGCTCTGGGATTTAAGCTTCACAATCAGTCAAGCGTGACTTCAGAAGCTAATTGCACAAGGGTGACACATACATGCACACACACACACACACATGGAACATCCTTACAGGAGAAAGAGTGATGGTGGAGGTGGAATTTTTTTTGAAATTCATCAAATTTTAATCTAGTGCGTATATTTCCATATTTCCATATTTATCACTTTGCACTCCTTGCATCCACTCCCTCTCTGCATATCATTTTGGCCCTTTTAATAGCTCAAACCACTCCTCACCGAATTCACAAACATACAGATACACACACTCACACTCTTGTCACCAAAAGGGGAGAAAAAAAACACAACCTCCCATCAGGTCCAGCTCTCAACAGACACGTGTTTTCCACAGCAGATAGGGCTGTCAATGAATCACTCCATTTCTGCCACACTTGGTAAATTGACTGTTTGATGCAGGAAACAGATGAGACATATGCTGGGGAAAGTCAGAGATAAGATGCAGGATTCATACTCTTCTCCTCCTCCTCTGTAATGAATCAGTGTATTTATTTAGGGCAATCTGCTTCTCCAAAATAGCCCCGCAATCGCTCCGTCTTCTCCGATGCGTTGTCTACTCCCTCCCCTCTTTTCTCTCCACCCACCTCGAGGTAATTGCTCTTACCTGAGACACTGTAATGGATCCTGGATGAAGTATTGACCGCGGCTAGATTTTGATTAAGGAGCTGTAGGGCAGAACATGTCTTTAATGAAACCTAGGAATCAGCATTCTCAGGCCGGCGCGTCAAGACTGGATGCTGCGCTCTGTGGCCCACAGGCACCTTGATTAGGACCTGATCCTCAGCAAATCCAGGGGTGGGTAGCCACTGAATTAAAAGTGATGAATTCATCCATTAATAATACCTCAGGCATGTGCAGTTTTTTCTCTGGAGGCTTATAATCGTTATGGATTTGGATATTCATTTACTGTAAGCTGTTTGCACTCGCATACTCACACACCAGTTCTCTCAATCATTCAATCATCCACCTTGTTGCTCCATCACTGATACACTTACTCACTCTTTAATACACTCAACCACTTTTTCCTTTAACGGTCAGTCTTTATCTGTTAGAATTTTAGCATTAGAGATAACTTGCATTAGTGTCTCTCAATCATACCCCTTAAATTGCCTTTTTGCTCGTGTTAAAAAGTAATTGCATCTTGGATGGAGATGAAAGCGAAACAGCTAGCTCCCCATGATCTTTGAGCGTGAAAATGGACATAATCTAAAAGGCGAGTATTAGCATGCTAAAAGACACCACAGCTATGATGAACACCATTTGCCAAGGCTTAATGTGATAGCCGGGTAAGATGATTAACTTTGAATCCATTTAATCAACCACAAGCGCTTTCTCAAATAACCAACTGTCTAGTGTTGGTGTAAAAACTTCCATCAGATCTGCTGGGAAATGAGTAGAACAGCAGATGCGTCAAATCGCAGTGCCAGAATCGGAGGCCAAATAATATAATTTGAAGTGATGGACATCAAATATCATTTTGTGCACTGTATTTGTCACCCTCGCTCACGGTTGAAGGGCACAATGGAGCGAGACTTGGAACATGGTTTGCACACTGACTTTCCAGTCAATGTGCCCTTGGGTTGTCTCCTATTGACTTAAGTAGTCAGCCTCTCACCTCCTTTCACTCATCGACCTGTGTGAACATGCCAATAAGTGGCCGTCATAATGCAGTGAGAATCCTGACCCCTTAGGTTAAAGTTTTCACCACAATCAAGGAGCATGGATTGAGGGAGGATTGCTTGTGTAATCACAGAGTACAAAGATGTCATAGCTGCTTTATATTCACTACGACAGATGAGGAAATACACACTTCATTTCTGCCTGAAATGTGTTGAGTATGATTGATTGCTTTGTAAGAAATGATCGACTTGATCAATTGAACAACTCACAGAAAAGTGTTTATTGACGGTTTCCTCCGCTCTGTGTGTGCTCTTCTCGCAGACCTTGACGACCCAGTGGTGACCGTGCATCAGAGTATAGGAGAAGCAAAGGAACAGTTCTACTACGAGAGGACCGTGTTCCTCCGCTGCGTGGCCAACTCTAACCCGCCTGTCCGCTACAGCTGGCACCGTGGGAGGGAGGTCCTGACTCAGGGCTCGGACAAGGGTGTGGAGATCTACGAGCCATTTTTCACGCAGGTAAGCCAGAGGCAACACGGAGGATTAGAACATACGAATTGGGTTTTAGAACTTTGCTGATATAAACAATATCCAGACTTCTACTGATCCTGTGTACTGGATTTAAACCATTTCAAAAAACTATATATATATATATATATATATATATAGTTTTAGTTATGCGTTGATGACATTTCCAACATAAGACAGATGCAAAACTGAAAAAAAAATAAATAAAAGAATACAAATATCTCTGGAGGCACGCCGAAAGAGGTCAACTTAGAAAGACAGTGAGAACCAAGAGCCCCAGTGTCGATGTCCTGGAAACCAAAACACTGCGTAATGTATACATTACCTCCTGCATGCTGCACCACGCTCTGTGTTGAGCGGAGATTCTCCTGCGGTGTTCTTCATCTATGAAAGGCAAACACCGGAGAAAGTACAGACCCAATTCTGGGTCCAAATTCTATCACCATAAATCAAACTTTACTGTAGTACGAGACATTGTGGATAATGTTCTACATATACTGAAGGGCTATAAAGAAATATGTAAATGATGACCTTTATCCACCTCTTGTGGCAATGAGTAAGTCTTCCTGTGTTTCTCTACAGTGATGAGTCAGTCGCAGTTGGTAGTTAATTAATCAACACTTCTTACAAAAGTGACATATTACTATGTGAAGTACTGTAATAATAGTGCTGCCTGCATGTTTTGGGATTTAGACTCTGTAGCACTGGGGGGTTTGTACCTCAAACCCGAACACCACCCCTCGCTGTGCGGTGGCATAGTAAAAGTTGTTCTCATTAACGGCCATGAAAAGCAATAACAGCTTCACTGGCTCTGTTTCACAGCCTTTGCAGAAGCAGAAGGATTTGGGTTTCCTTCCCAATCAGTTAAATGGAGCAAGTGGATTTTCTTTACAATCTGAAAAACGGAGAGGCTTTGGTCTAAAACAGACCTCGAACTGTCAACAAAGAGACCAAGTGGGATTGTTCTTTCACTAGTAAGGGAATTGTAGTTTTTGAATTGATGGAATTGAATGTGATTGTGGGATTGGGCATCAGAGAGGGTGGAAATCTACGAGACAGAGAAAGAGACGTGCAAAAGGGTGAAAAGAGGTTTAGGAAACACAGAGAGGAAGAGAGAGGGAGAGGAAAAGAAAGTGAAATTGATGTTTGGCCAAATGGAGAAAGATGGCTGGGGACTAATGGAGTGGGTGTAGGGGACTGAAGAAGCTGAACAACTGGGACTCATCAGACACTCCTCCCATCTCCGTCCTGCTCTTCATTCCTCTTTGCTCTTTTCCTCGATCTTCAGCCTGCCCTCTATTAAAGCTTTAATTGGGTCTGAAACTTTGAGAGCAACACAAACCCAGAGATTAGCTTTATGCGAGTCCAACCCTAAATAAATCCTGACTAAACTCCTGCTAATGTGCTATTATAAGTGGCTAATAACATATTTTTCAGTGATATGGTCAAATTGGGCTGAAATATCCGGAGACAATTAACAAATTCATGATTGACCCAAATCAAGCCTGTGGGGTCACATTGAGGCTGTTTCAGCCCAGATTTTTGTTTAATTCATCTTTCTGCCTGCCTCCCTCTGATATTCTTTATTCAGACTTGACTGGAACGCAGCCCAACAAATGTTTTTATATTCCCACTGTTACTGTAGAAATGCAGAGGTGGCATTTTCAAATCGGTGTAGAACTTGTTCATGATTAAATGAGGCCCTGAGCAGTGCTTTTATAGTAGACACCACGTCCTTTCTGCTCTTTCACTTCTACCTCTCACTACATAATTCTTGCCACAAAGTGTGTCAAAGTAGAGCAATTATCAAAAGTGTAATCCAGCAATTACCTCTCTCATCAGATTCTCAGCTCATATCAAATAGTTGCACATAATTGGGGGGGGGGGGGCATGGTAACCATTCAAACCCCAGCTAACAACATAATGCGCCAAGCTGAAGGTCACATAACAATCAAGTCACTGTTTCTTGGCCCCCATGCAAGTTTCCCTTCTGGGTAATAAGTTTAAGTTCAACTAGCAGGTTTTGATTATTCATCTAAAATACACATTTAATCCCAAAATGAAGGGTAAAACAAAGCTGGAGATAAAATATTTCCCCCTGACACCGACAATAAATTCCTTCTATAATTTCTTTGCCCTTTACCACAGCCTCACATCCTGTTCCCAAAGCTCCTGTGCGCTTTAGCGTTCAATCTTTCCATCAATATGTCCCGTCAATTCCCCCTGTCCAATTCGGTTTAATGTGTTTGTCCTTTCCATTCCTTCTCTGTCCCTTGCATTTTCCAAATAGATTCCCGTCCAATCTGCCCCCGCCCCCGCCTTCCCGGCCTTCTGCTACCCCCTGCTGTGACTAAAGTCTGAGTACCAGAGACCTCATCTCACCATATCTGCTCCCAAGCAGAGGGGGTGACAGAAAGGAAGAAAGGAAGTGGAGTGTGGGCTGCATGGCTAATCTAATACAATTTACTTATCCATGAGCCTCACTGGATAGGAAGGGGTTTGAAAGATGCGAGTGATTGCCATGTTGTGTGGACTGCCTCAGCATGAGGCTGGCTCATGTTTCAATCTGCCCTGCACCCTCGCCTGAACTCCCTCACGCTGGAGTCAGTCAGATCAGAGGTTCACATTGTCATCATGGCCCCCTGGGCGGGGCTCATGGCTGACAGGCCCAGCTGGAATCAAACACAAAATCTGTAATATCGCTTGTTTTTGTGGAGGGATCCCCCACTGAACCATCCACATTTCAAAAACGATTTACTGGGACACAGAATGGGGTTAATCCACATGTCGGCAAAATGAAAATAATTGTCTTGAAAAATCAGAAAAACCTTTTTATCGTGATTTTAGAGGAATATTCTTAAACTTTGCTGCCTTTTCATTTAACTTTTAGCTTTGTTAAAAAACTATATATATTCATGTTTGACCCTCCTGTTGAGCTTTTCGGCCTTTTGATCTGTTTTACTTGCTTATGTTGATCTATTTACACACATTTTCATACTAGTATTGGTTTGGTCTGAGCTGCAGGGGGAAACGAAGATTTTGAAGCTGAAGAACCTGCGTCCTCAGGACTATGCAAACTACAGCTGCATCGCCTCTGTCAGAAATGTGTGTGGGATCCCCGACCGCAGTGTCATCTTCAGACTCACCAATAAGACAGGTAAGACGGATTTTATTGGAAACTTAGCATCGTAAACCCAAAACTACACCCAACAATTCACAAAGGTGTCTTCATAAACGTGGAAAAGGCAGATGAAGTGCTGTGCTCTTTCTCTGCAGAGTTAACTGTCATAACTGCCAAAGTTGTCCATCTTCTCCCAGTCATTCTTAGACTCCACACTCTCTTCCTTTACAGCCTCCCCATCCATCAAGCTGCTGGTGGAGGATCCGATCGTGGTCAATCCTGGCCAGACGGTATCGTTGGTGTGCATCACCACAGGTGGGGAGCCTCCCCCCATACTCACCTGGCTCAGCAGTAATGACAGCCTGCCGCAGAGAAGCGTAGTGAAGGGGGGTACGCTCACACTACCGGCCATCTCTTCAGATGAGGCGGGGGTGTACAGCTGCGTGGCCAGCAACAATGTGGGAAACCCGGCGAAGAAGTCCACCACCATTGTTGTGCGAGGTGAGAATGCATGACTGTGTGATGTACAGAACCCCAAAGTCTTCAATATTAAATAAAAAAATAACTGGAAAGTCCAATATATAAAAAGAAAATATGTAAAAAGAACAATTGCATAGTTCAATAATATGATAAATATTGAAAACTCAAGTTCATTTTCATTTCAGAATAGGCTTTATTTCAAAATGCCTTTTTTCAAATTGTTCATGTTCTTGCTCACATCAGAGTTGTGTATCTTTCTCTGAGAACATTTACAGGATGTCAACTCTGAATTCACCACTCTGACCCTAAGCACACAAAGCCAATTACAATAGTTTGGAGGAAGCATGCACCAGCATGTTAACTTATATAAGAGATGTGAGTTTGTGTTGGCACATAACGCTGACACATTAACCAACCTCTGTTCTATTTACATCTGCAGCCTCTATTTCAGAATAACTCAAAATTATTAGCTTTAAGTTAAAGTGAACTGAAAATGAAATGCACTATTAAATAAAATATCTGAAATGTGTAATTTGAAATAAAAAACCTTTATAAAAGAAAAGGTACATTTTAAATTGAAAACTGTTAAAAGCAATGTATTGGTGGCAGACTGTTTTTATACGATCATTTTATGCCCAGTATGTATTTATTTGATAGTCGTTTCTTTCTTTGTGTAATATTGAAAACTTCTAGGAGCCAAATACAATGAGTGTAAGCAATGACAAAGAAATGGTTGAATCATAGGTGAAGCGTAAAACTAGGGACACAAGAAGCATCATTTACAATGTGCACGAAGTGTCAAGAAATAATATATGAAATGTATTTGTATAATATGTCAGGGGCCTCACACTTTGAGTATAGTTTGTTGCCTGAGGATGGTGGCATGCTATTAATGTTTGTTTATAATTCATATTAGAATTACCATGTTAATCATATCATAATTAAAATGTAATTAATTTGTAGTCTTAACAAATGTCCTTCAGATCTGAAGCTTGACAGTTTGACCTACCAATCACAGAGAACCAGATATCTCAGATATTATCACTCAGGCTACTTTAAGACGGTCAAGGACAATGCTAAAGGCAAGTTTGAAACCATTCATTAAAATATACAGATTCAGAGAGTGGTTAACACCAATTTAACAAGATCAGCAGGGTGAGGGCTGCTGCTGCCAGATCGGCAAGTATTAGGAAAATATATTTCTCAAGCTGCTTTTCACCTGAGAATCACAAGAGGCAGAGAAACATCTAAACCTGCTGTAGCTAATAGCAAAGTAGTGCTTTTTGCATACATTTAGTGTAGAGGGAACTTTTATTTATGAACATGACATGTGTTACACACAGTGAAATGCTGCAAAAAGCTACTTTGAAGATTAACACGCACGACAGGCAATTTTACCATGAGTGAAAAAAAGCTGTCTTGTTATAAGACCTGCACAGATGGAACATAATGCATGAGGAAATTGACTTTCATACTGTTAAATCAACTGCTATTACTAAGCTGGAGGATTAAGGATGATGTGGGACTAGGCTTTCATCTGTGACATAACAGAGGATCCCCACGTCCTGAATGTGAAACTTCAGCCACCTCTTGCAGGTGAATAAAAAAAAAAGATGCATTAATTAGTGGAATCCTTGCAGGCATTCATAGGATGATCCACAATCCACTCATCCTGTTTACATTTGAACTTTTCCATAGAACATCTTACATACCCGGAAATGGAACACATTTGAATCTGAGTTTAGTAGATTGGTCCAGAAATGCAAGCTTCTTGCAGACTTTTCTGCTTTCATCTCTGCGATTATGCCATGGCTCCATCATCAGGTTGCCTCTGTACCCAGCTTAGAAGCATTATTTAAGCAGCTATATACACCTTGGGATGAAATTCAGATCATCAACAAATCATTCCAGATGGGTCCCCCCGCCCCCCCGAGAGATAAACCCCTTGTCCGTATTGTGAAAGTGCCCATATAGTCGAGGACTTAAAATTGAGAGGCTTACGTCAAAGAGAAGGTGTGAGGTGTCCTGTGGGAACAAATAAGTCAGAGCAGATTCAGTGAAGGTAATCGCTACAGTAAATTCCATGTGACACACATCTGGAGTTCACAGTGGTTCTCAACTTAGTGAAATATCATCTTCACATGTTGATTCTCGTGTGAGCTACTTCAAAATAATTTCTTGTCATAGAAAACTTTGCGTTCATCCTACCTGGTTTATCTGCAGAGAAGCAGTTGTTTTTCCATTGTCAAATGGATTTTGTTGTTTTTGCCCCAGGTTTTCATGTTTTATGTTTTTCATAAAACTGAATTTGCTTATTACTGTTCACATGTGTGGCTTGTATATAAGTTTGAATGAGGTACTAAGCTGGTATTATTTCCAGTGCATCACATAATGGCTCCTATGTTACTTGCTAAAAGATTACCAAAGCCACACATGCATTATTCTGCCTGACCAGATGTCATGCAGGGTACACAGTCATTGATTATATAGTTCAATTTGTGCAAACTAATTCACTTAATCAATCCGATACAGGGGTTACTTGACCCTGCTGAGTTTGCTGTTAGCTCTTAATTTTGTATTCACATTGTGGGGATACACTCACTTTGGCTAAACAGTGATATCCTCCTTTTCAGAGAGATGAGCATCGATCAGTAGTCTTATGTAATCTCTTGAAGTCATCACTGACGTCTCTCTGACCCAGTCATTTACTGTGGATGTTTAAACAAGAGGCAATCACGTAGTGGAGGGGATAAGTAGATTTATAACTCTGTCCTGAGTAAATCAAGTCAATGAGTCATCACACATTTCAAAACCAAAGACAACCGGGCAGTCTGAGAAGAAAAGGTGAGATGCCTCAATGACTTGGAAATATATATATATATTTCTACAAAAATTCATTACCAGGATGCCTTCCCAAATAGTCTAGTAATGGCGAGTCTGCTTGAACCTCTGCAGTCTCCAGGTGGTGCCCAACCTTCCTTAAGTGTTTCAACCCTTAACCACAATACTCTCTGGTTGCTGGTTTGGCAGTGGCAACCCTCTCCTGGTTTCCAGCTCATCTCCCCTTTAAACCAGACCCAACAGGAGGCTCCCTTAAGCTTAAATTACAGAAATAAGTTTAGGATCAATAAAAAGAGAAAATGAATCAGATATGTTCTCAGGAGACTGGTTAATAATGACTTAATAGTGACTCTTGTCAATGCAGCTTTTGAATCTGTATTTATAGATGTTCATTTAAGAACACGTTGAAAAAGCTTAAATGGCATCTAACCAAGACTGACACTCTGCCCTCAGTCTGACAAACTGTCACCAGGCACAAATTCTAGATAACATACTTATATGACTTCTCAATTTAATTTGATCTTTGTTTATCAAAGTAAAGCCAATTACAGCGGAAGACAAATTTAAATGGCATCATGGACTAAACCCTACAGATGCTATAAAATCCCAAACTATTAGTGTCTTTATTTCATTTATTTGACAGAATCATAAACAGTGAAAAACAATCAGTTTGGAAGAAGGAGGGGTCTGACATTACTAATTGACAGGAGATGAGTTCAGCATGTTATCACACATCTCAGAGGCGCTCTCCTGAGTCTGATGAGCTGTCACTGACGCAAATACAATTTTGGGATCAACGTGCACCAGATGACGAAGGGCGTGTGTGTGCTGTATAACTGTACAGTGACAGAAACATGTCCAAATGCATCACATGGGTTTTATTGCAGCATTGTGGTATTACGGTGGTAACACGACACCTTCTAATGGGTTTTAGTTGTCACAGGGCTCCATTGTCATGTTATTCTCAACCATTTTCATGCCCACAAACCTGTTTAAGTTTTAAGTGATAAAAAAGCACAACTTGTATATCAGCATGAACATTCTCTTCACAACTCTTTTTTTTTTTTTGTCTGACTCTGCCACTGACATTTAACAAACCAAAGCGTGTCCAAGATGCAGCCTCGATCTGAATAATTTCTCCATTGTGTGCTCATGCTTCTGCAGCTTGTCTGTGGCACTTTATCACACCGAGCCCTTATGCTACTCAGAGTCACGCTGCATGAAAACAAGCTCACAGCTTCTTTCCATATTAAGGGGACTGCGTGGTTGGTTTGGTATGAGTTTGCACTAAATTTCCACCGTGGATAGTCTTAGATGTTTCGATCGAGAAACGAAAAATGATTTCATTTCTTTGATCTGAACTAAACCCACAGAGAGAGACACAACGTTGAAAACAGCTAAGTGGCAGGAGAAGTGGATAGGGTGAGGCAGTCATGGCTGGATTTAATTATGTTTATTTATTATCAAATATAAATTACAATCATGGCATTTAAATCAACTCTAGACTGAATATCCTAACTAATGCTGTTCCATCAGTTAATGTCACATTGTGGATTCTCTTTAATTTCCCAATATCTCAACTGTGGATAACAAAACAGTCGTACATAGTTCAAAATCAAGACTCTATACATGCTTTGTCAATCAGTAGTATTTTTGTCTTGAGTGTGGCCAAGAAGGATGAAATGTGGAGGAAGTTATGAGCACTGGGCAGAAATGCTTGTCATCAGTCTGGTAAATGCACATTTTTGTTGATATTCATGTGCACATGCTGCCTGTGTACATGAAATACCAAAATATTTTAGTTCTGCTGTGCTGAGTATATTCTGCATGTTCAGTAGGGTCACCCTGTGGCTTCATGGGCGCCTGTCTCAGCTCAATCACCCTCCTCTCCAGTCCTTGAGAAGCCCTCTCAAACTGCTGTTGCCAAAGGGGGGCTGAGAGAGTGTGTGTGTGTGTGTGTGTGTGCGTGTGTGCGTACGTGCGCTTGTGTGTCTGAGAAAACACATCCCTTCCCAGCAGATGGTAGTTTCTCTGGCCATACTGTCCCACCAGCCAGACTGCCTTCCAGGGCTTGGCCATCTCCACAGCCAGCCCAGCAGGCTACTGGCAACACATCACCCTTCTGACAAGATCCTTTTTATGGATTAAGGGTCCGCAACATGTCTTCAAATGCAGGTCAA